AAGAAATATCATAAGGATATAACGGCAAATGCATAATTTACTTGTCTGAATCAACATAAAGAGAAATTTTCGACTATACAGCAATGAGAAAGACGAAATCGACGAAATAATACCTCGGTCAGAAATCTTTATTGAATTTTGACAGCAGCATCTGACTGAAATTCAATATTAATGATATGAATGTTGTTTCATCATCCTAATACCAACAGGATCTTGCTGGTTTTATGAGAATTTAGATGGAATATGATCCTTTTGGGATAGATCATAGTTACCATTGAATTGAATTATTTTTAAGGGTACAATAAGACCAAAGCATTTTAGTATGAAACGGACCGACATTCAAATGAATGTTATATGCAACCGATATTCGGCTTTTAAAAAGCTACTAGTATGTCAATCCAAGCTTCGTCAAATAAAAAATTTGAAACATCTTTCATCACGAAATTTCATCTTTTTTCTAATCCATGAGTAGTAATTTGAAAAATTATATTTTTTCTAATGTAATTAGTCAATAAATCTTTTTAGCAACACTTTTTCGACAAACAATGAAGTTTATATCACTCTTGTAGAATTGATTGTATTCAACATAATCATCTATGACAGTGGACGATGGAATAGGTAAATTATTTGTTATTTTTTTTCAAACTTTTCAATATCATCCATTATTCTATTTGCCATTCAACGAACTTCGGATAGTATGCCAATTAAAATATGTTCGTTTCAAATTCTTCATATCATTGATCAGAAGTTTACCGATTTTGAAGATGTGATCAAAAAGTATGTACGTGGTGAGGGGCCTAAAATTGACATGATATTGAAAGACTATATGGAAAAACCAGAAATTTCTTTATTTGCTGTCTGCAATATAGCAGGACAGGAAGAGAAATTTATTCAAAATCACAAAGAACATTGGATTACATTTATTATAACAGAAATTAATGGAAAGTTTTTCGTATTTTTTAAAGATTCATTCGAATCTAAAGAATACATTCATGAAAAATTAGCTTTACGAAAATATATCGAAGAAAAATTATCCAAAGATTCATCGATCAACTTCGTTGAACATTCTAATAGAGAAGAATGTACAATTCACGGTAGTGATATTTCTATTGCTTTAAATAATTTGAACATCATATTGGAACGTTTCAATTCTGGAAACAAAGAAAATTTTGAAAAATTATTTCAAGAGACAATATTTTATAGTTCGAATAATATTTCAATTGATTTCGATCGATTAATTGTAAACATAGGACTTAGCAATCGGTTTAGATTTCGATTGAAACCTGCATTACAGAAAATTCTCTCTGCTTTACAACGAGTAACCGAAAAAGATAAAAGAAATAAACTAGAACATGGACAATTGACAAAGTTAATCGAAACATTAGAAAATAATAATTTTTTACCTAGAGAACAAGATGAAATAGATTTAAGAGTTATTGTTATTGATTTGATCATAGTTTTGATTGAAAGAGGACAAATATTAGATGAAAATATACAAAAGAAAATAAATAAATATTTTGTCAATAATAAAAATCAATATATCAAAAAAGTTGAAGAATTCGATAAGATATTGCGTGAAGATAGCAGAAATAGTCAAATAGCGGGCTGTTTAAGTCTTGCTCTAAAAGATCTTTTAAAATTTTTTACTAACATAGAAAAATTGATTCCAAACAGTTTAGAAATGGAAGATTTTGAGATGTTATTCAAATTATTAGGAAACATCAATGAACATAAAACTTTAGATATTCAGAGAGTACACTTGGAAAATGAACTTAGAAGCGTAGTTGATAGTGATAAACAAATGGATATCAAATTTAAATTGAGTAATGTTCGACAGCAGCTTGATTATTTTGCGAGAAAATCAGAAATTTGTATGACAATCAATATTGATGATTTAGTAATTATAATCGGAACAAAAGTAGAACATTTTGAATCAACCGATCGTTGTTATTTTTCTCAAGATACTCTTGATCATATTCTACTAGTTGGCAAAACAATAGAAAACAGAAATGTAGCCTTAGCTGTAATTAAAATATTGAACTTTATCGATTTATCAAAATATACACAAACTGATGAAGATCTAGATAAAGTCTTGTGCAATATCGTATCAAAAATACCACAGAGTGAAGGAAAGTTCATTTTAAATTTAAGCAAGAACTTAGAATTAGGCAAACATTCTAGTTTACTTAAATTTCTACATGAAATATTAATTGAAAATGATGATAAACAAGTTCGATATGAAGCTCTTAATATTTTAAAATCATGTGAGTTCTATCCTGAAGATTTAGAATACATAACTAATGCTATTGAAATAGAAGAAAAATGTACGCAAACTGATAACAGTATACTTCACGATTTATTACAACGTGTAAAAGTTCGAAATAAGTTAACATTGAATTGTTTTGAACAATTAACAAAATATTTTGAATTTGAAACAACTTATGTCATAATCAATGAAATTGTAGAGCACGGCGTACAACAATTACCGAAATCTTTTATTGAAAAATCTATACAATATATTGAAACAAATTTTGATAATAAGAAATATCAGTTGATTATTGCTAGTTTATGTAAATCATTGCTTAAAGGTCAATACATTAGTTTATCACAAATTCAAAATAATATAGAAAAATTCATCGACGATGAAAATCTAAATGCTGGAGTTTTTGATCTACTCTCTATTGAAGTGAGAAATGAGCATTCTATTCCAATATCTATCGTAGACAAACTTAAACATACAGCAAAACATAGTGAATATGCTGCAAATTTGATTAAACTAATAGAAAAAGAGCATAGTCCTATTGATATTTTGGAAAATCCACGAGAAAGCATAGAAAATAGAAAAGAAGCGTTGAAAAATATAATGACTATAGATCAAAATTGTACGATAGCCACCATTAAAACATTAGAATCAGTTATAAAATACGATTTAGAACTTCGAACATATTGTTTCAAAGTATTAGTTGCTATCTTACCTGAAAATTATACAAAAAAAGATATAAAAATTGATTTCGCTAGTTTAATGGAATGTATTAATTACGATCAAAATATTAGTTTAGATGATATTCGGAGCTTGGTAAAGAAAGATGCAAATGTCGATCTTTCATATATTTTAACATTTATCCTTCATCGCATTCATATTGAAAGAGACATAGCATTGCATTTGTTAAGTGAGATTGCCAATCGTCGCATAAAAACAGCACTTGACGAAACTCAATGTAAATTTTTACTAGCACTAGCTTTTGATTGTACAGATTTTGATTCTCGAGCTAAGATAATCAATATTCTAGAAACTATGGTAGAAAAGAACGTAAGAGATAAGATGGAAATTTTAAAATTCAACTATGATGGAAACGAGATTACATATTCATTGACTGACGAGTTAAATAAACTACATAATTTACAAAATATGATCATCAATCAACAGAATCTAGTGGAATTAAGCAAAACGATTGAAAAAGAAGGATATAAAATTGTTGAAGATCATATTAAATCATTGATTGAGGCTTTAGATGATGCTAAGAAGAAAGATTTACGGGAGCAAATAATTGATATTTTATTTCAAATTGAATTTACACAAGGTTTGACACACACAGAAAGTAGTGCTCTATTGTATGCAATCGAGAAACATCCAGAATTGATTGGTATTGATAGTGCAGTAGGCATTGTTGCTACGAGTTGTACTAAAAATATTGAAATACCAGATAAAGTACTGCAAAGTCTATGGCGACAAGTTAGCAAAGATTTAGAAGAAAAGAAATTGCGATACAACTCAATCTCTATTTTAAAAGCCATCGTTACTCAGAAAAAACAGATCCCTAAACTAGTATTAGAAACTCTCGTAAACTCGTTGACTTGTCAAGATTTCGATCTACAAAATAGACTTCTTCTCGCAGATATTGTGTATGATGCAATCGAATTATTGACTGATGATTTTCAATCATATCAGCATGTGATTGAAAAATTAAAGATTATAGTATTGCAAACGAAGAAAAATCGTGATGAATATCGATTGAATAAAATTATCTTTCGAGCTCTTCAAAGAAGCATTGAAGAGAACGATTCATCACATGAGCTTCTATCTAGATATTACGACATATTTAAAGAAGATGAAATCAATCATGAACAATATTCGATGAAAGAATGGAATCCATTGAATAATTATATGAAAAGAAAATCCCATGCTTTAGAAAAGTTTCATTTGATGATTGTCATTGATCGTATAGTTTTAAAACAACAGAAAATTGATACAAGTATTTTCAATGAATTTCAGGAAACTGAATGGCGAAAAGAAATCCTATGTAGTGAACTATTAACTGGTATATTTTTAGAAGCAAACAATGCTCAAGGAATAGATGAATTTGAATTAGAAAAATTTCGTGAGAACCTAAGTGTATTTTCTTCCTGTAGGGATGAAAGTATATCAGTAGAAAATATTTTACAAGCATTAATTGATAAACAAAATATTTATGAATTAAATCTTGAAATGATTAACGATATATTAATGATGTTGCAAACGAATATCGAAGGTTTCAATATTCTAAGAAATGAGAATAGAAATAGTTTTTATATGGAATTACGAGAACAATGGTTAGGCAAACGTCTAGAATATTTCGATATTGAATATAGTGATACAACCCTAGAGATATTCAATGCATATTTACCGTATAAAATTGAAATTATCGATGAAGTTTTAAAAAAAATAAACGAGCATACGACAATCGATGAATTGATTAAATTTTTTAATTACTTATTGAATTGCGGTTTGACAAAAGAAAGTATCGAAACATTTTTAACCAATGATATTCCATATAGAAAAAGTATTTCTACATGGCAACTCATCTTAACGGATCGATTAGTTGGCATGTTTCTAATGAAAAAATTTCCTTCCTATGGAAAATATTTGCAATATACTAAATTTGAATTTAATCGAAATAATCTCATTCAAAATGCTTACAATCAAGCTAATTCAATATATTATTACAATGTCGATGATCTAACTCGAATATCAACTGAATGGATGAAAGAATTCGTATCAAATTTTAGAATAACTTCACCATTATGCCATCAAAGTGATAGATCTCTATCGAGTATTCTAACGAATGTTTTAAATGAATATCTACGAGAAAAAAAACCGACCATTTTTTGTCTAAATATTTCTAGTAATCATTGGGTGAGTGTAGCATTGATCAATAATAAAGATAAAGATATTGTATTATACAAAGATTCGTTAGGCGAAGATAGTTATGTTGACGAACGAGAAGAATTGAAAGTATTTTTGAATGATAAAATTGAAAAAATTGATTTTAAATTTCATAGATCTTGTGATCAATTCAATAGTTATGATTCCGGAGTATTTGCATTAGCTAATATGAAAATCATAGCAACATATTTGAAAAATAAAAAAGAAAGTTTTATTCATTATTTTGAAACTTCTAAATTTACTTCTCAAAGCCAAGCGACACATGATCGTATAAATACATTTCCTAAGATGTATGCATTAAGTTTATGTCGACCGTTTCGAAAAAAACAAATACTTGATTATCATTCAGTTGAATTAAAATTTATTGAAGAAATACTCGAAAAAAATGTATTCACAGGAGACAAACTACAATTATCGATTAGCTTGCCGGACAAGGATAATTTAATCGAGAAGAATTATCGATATTTGTATGTGATCGAAGCTATGAGTGCAGAGATTGATTTCAATCGAACGTCTGAATTGAAAACAAAAATTGTTGAAAATTTAGGAATAAAAGAATTATATTCAGTAAAAGGAAATGTAATGACAATTATCGATGATAAATTAACAGCTATTCAGAAGAAGAAAAATCAAAAATTAGAAATGACATTAACTGATAATGAGATAGATGAACTTTTGAATAAATTAGGTGTTGAACTTACCGAATACAATCGAGATGTTTTGAAAAAAACCTTGGGATTCACTATGAAAAAATACTTGACTATTCAAGGTAAAGAAATAGTGGAGATTGAAGATTATAAATTAGTTGTTCATTTACATAGGAAATTAAATAAAATTCGTGCTATAGGCTGGCCGATGAATTCAGTTAGAATATTATTGGATTTTATTAATTCAGAAGATGAATTAAAACATATGTTACATGCGTTAGATCCTATATTTGAATATAATTTGTTTGAATACGATCGTAATGATAATGGTGATAAACTGTTCGATATTTTAAAATCAAAATCGACATCGAAATGGAGAAAAGAAATTCATGAATTAGCTATTTTTCAAACTTTCATAGGAAGTAACAATAAAGCTTTAGAAACATTGAACACAGAATTATATGAAATCAATAAAGATAATCATGTATCATTCTTATGCGACGATAAATTAATCGCTGCTTATATGAATGTTCAACATGCATATAAGGAAAAGTCCAAATTATTCGATAATTTAAGTTCTATTGAACATTGGAAATCATCGGAAATACAGCAATGGGCTGAAAAAGTAAAATCGATGCCGAACGAAGTTAGTCAACATGAAAAACTAGCAGTCATAAAACGAGCCATAGAAATCACTAGTAAATTTCCTCCACGTGAAATACAACTTTTGTCGGTATTAATATTGACGAATCCTGAAGAACATACAGGACGTCTTGCACAAATTAATACTGGCGAAGGTAAAACAACAATAGTAGCAATGCTAGCAGCAGTAAAAGCGCTCGATGGTCAGCAAGTTGATGTTATTACTAGGTC